GCTAAAAGCCCTATTTTCAAGTCTCGGGCAGAATAAAATTTATATATTTCACCAAAGTATATAATTATATCACTACAGCAGCATAGCAAACGAAATCAATGATAAATTTAGCTTCCTAACGGAATAACTATTTATTTAAAGATATATATTTTTTACACGACTTCCTTTTCCTGCGCACCTGCCTTCCTTTCCTTGACGGACGCCATTTCCGCTGTTATCAGAATGGTACGGGTAGTGTGTGAAATGTTGGTTAAGGCGTCTTTCAGTAATCTGAACATAATTTTGGAAAACAAAAACAAGTTGAAAATATTGTGATTGAACACGATTGATTATAATTATGCTCTGATGGCAGTCGTTTGTTGTCTTTTTTAGTGTGTTTATCGAACACGATTTTGTTTAGTTCACGTTTTACTGTCCAATACATGTAAACACAACACAAACTTACTGTATTTGCAAGTTTCAAACCGTATTTGCAAATTTAATAGTGATATTTATAAAGTGTCTCACACAGTATTTAGAACTATGCTTAATGACATTATGTCGCAGTTATTGAATGCTGCACTCTTCGATGCAAAGTTTATAAGAGAATTTCGTTGTTCGATCTAGATTATAGTAATTATCCCTCCAATGCAATGCTAAAACCTATATGCGTGGCTGTGCAGAACCTGTTAAAGGCTTCGAAAGGTGCTTCCAAGCTTCTTTATATAAGTTTTGATATGACATCACAAATATATTGACATAATAATAGGTAAAGGTAGTCTCCTCCCCAACACTACTCGCATTAACAAGAAGTTCAATGCTATTACACAAAATTCAGGATACTTTTGGACAAAGTGAAGCAGCATCATGAATCTAATTTGCTCTGAGAATGTAGCAGTTAATGATATTCTGACTAAGATGCATAGATAATAAAATACTCTGTCATTGTGTCAAATGGCTACCAACTTGTATTTTTGAGCTGAAAATAGGGATAAACATAACAATGTCTTTGTATCTATTTAACTTGCAAAGTAGAAACAAAGATAGCAAAGATTTTGATCTGTGAATATGAAATTTCAAGGATTCTACTGATTATATGTACATAAAATACTTGTATGATTTTCTTTGAAAAAGATAGCTGAACATGCAACAATTAATGTATTAAATAGAATGAAGGCACTGTTAGAGATATTTATGTTATTCGTTTATTATAGCTAATTAAAGTGTATCTCCTCTGCAGGGCGCCCACAAATCATTCAGAATTAAGATGCGTCTGGCCAAAAAACAGAAGCAGAACAGACCAGTACCACAGTGGGTCAGAATGAAGACTGGCAACACGATCAGGTGAGTGTTCTACTGCATATCTCAAAATCACAGCAACTGCTGGAAGCGTGAGGCCCCAGCAAAATCTTTAAAAGTGTTCATCCACTGGAGTATTGGCCTGGTTAAAAGTAATTGAAAATTTTCAAAACAATGCATATAAAGCATGCACATTTTGTATTGGACTTTCATGCACATAGAAACAGGTAGTATACTTCAGTAGACATAACAAATGTCCATTAGTACACCTTAACAAACTTCACTGGATAATGCAATTCACAGGATAATGCAATTCATAGGATAATGCAACTTTCAAATTAAAATCTGGCATCGTTCAGGAAAATTTACTTATCAGGACGATCAGACAAGTGCTTTGGCTAGGACCTGATTACTCATAAAAGCATGGATATTTTTTATTGTACTAAATTATTTTTTAATTGTACTCTAATAAAGCATTTGCTGTTGACAGTAGTGTTTGTTATGATGACAAATTCAAATATATTTGACATAAGATAATGAATTTGTGGTTGTTATACACATATGGAGTAGGAAAAGGCTTTTTGTCTGCATCACTTCAAACAGAATTGCTTTGTCAGTATGCAATTTTTGTAATAATAATGTCTTAATATATTTTTAAAATATATTCCTTTTTAGAGTTCACATTTCACCAATATAGGTACAAAAATAAAGTCACAAATTGTAGTGCTGAAAGCATGTATCTAGAAGCATCACATATCTTTGATTAACCTTTATCTAGATAATGTATGGTGTATATTGTTTGTAATTTGTAGGCTATACTGAAATTGATCATTATCATTTCAGAGCTGTAACACTTTAAGATATGTTTTCTTATAGTCGTGAACAGCCTTTTGTAATATAGCTGTAACTAGTGATAGCTAAAACCCATACTTTTCTTTTGATAATGAAGCATATCATTTACATGGAGGGTGATCTTCACCATGTTTGACTAGTATGTATGTCTTTATAAATATATGTACAACATGTATGAGGTAAAGCAAATAAATTTTTGATATTTGTCATGAACATGTGATTATGAGAAATAAGCTAATGACATTTTGTTAAATGTGAAGATACACATATTACAAAGATGAAAAGAGTCCATGCTTGGTAAGTGAGATGAAATGTGATGAAAGTACGGCTTTCAGTGATTTTCAAGACCTGTATGTTTGAGTTCTGAACTCGTGATTTTTGTGGGGGAATTTTGCGACTCACTTATCTATGTACTGGACTCATTAAAATTTGGGAAATTGTACTCTGGAGACTTAAAATCAAATTCTTCAAAAACTACAATACTCCATTTCAACAGTTGACATTTAATCTTTGAAAGTTTTTGTTATCAAATGTCTGAGATAACATTCTGTGTGTTATTTCAGGTACAATGCCAAGAGGCGTCACTGGAGGAGGACCAAGCTGAAGATGTAAACCAATTCCTCGTCCTTAATACATCATCACACCTGAACCTCTTCTGACATTTGGAATAACTAAAATCTGGACAAAATGTATTGGTGGCAGCACAATTTGAAAGAGATCATTGACGTAAAATTATCAGCAGGCAGCAAAACCTGATAAGAGGTGAAACATTTAGACATTGTGATGAAAACAATTTTTTGTCCAAAAATTTCACTGTAAACATTGGTGGAATAAATCAATCTTCAGCTACCTGGTTTCTTGTCATCACTAAATGATATACATGTCTGTCTAACATATAGTTACATCGACAAATTTAGTGCTTCTGTTGAGAGTGATGTATGGTTTTCTAAAATAAAAAAAATAAGTTTGCCTGTGCTCATTGAAATCATTTAAACAAAAGCCAAGGAATCAAGAATTCAGATTATTCCCTTCAAGACAATATATATCGTAGCATAAACCCTATACAGGAGCATTTTATACACAGCATCATATTTGTGTTCATCATACTTCCCACAAAACTCTATACTATTAAAAAGCAATTATAAAAGTCGTTTTACATCAATATTTATATGCTTAGGCTTGCACTTCTCCTGTGCCAATTGTATGTTTCTGGAAAGTTAAGTCTCGAACCTTTCGGATTCTGTATGTACACACACATTACCAACAACAAATAGAGCATAACTTCAGAAGGCTTGAACTTACTTGGACATGCATCTTAATTACAGACGAGGCATGTATTACTTGTCAGATACAGACTCGGAAAGTTTCATGCCTAGGTACAAATTTAATGCTCGAAAATATCACCATGGCAAAAATGACAATCGCTGACAATCAGGGAGATTGTTTGGTGACCAGATGTTATATGTTGAATTTTGATGGTTAGGTTACTGTAGAGCAATTGCTTCTTTAAGAATTGTAGGGGTATTGTAAATCATCTTTGAAGTACTGTACATCATGTGGATCTGCCAGTGATGTCTTTGGAGAGACACTACCCTAATTTCTTTTCAATACAGAAGGTGCCCTCTATGAGGGGGATGCATGACCTCTTGGGTTTACAAGAGTTGAAAGCTTTTAAACTTCCAACAATAGTATAGAAACTCATTAGATTATACAAAGAAACTTTTGCAGTTCAAAAAAGGTTGACTGAAGTTTGATGGTAAAGCTGAAAGATGTCATCATATATCGAGTGCCTCGTTACGTTGTAGTACTGTATTTGTCCTACTCGGGCTGGATAGTTGGCATTACTTCAGACTGAAAGTCAATATTGACTACAATATGCTGAAATAGCATTCATCAATACTGGTATAAAGTAACATTATTATTATTATGACATTCTTAATGGCCCATCAACACATAAAAGGTCATTAGGGTCATTAAGTGGTAAAAGATACAGGGATCCATAAAGGAAATAATATCAAACAAACTAAAAGGTAAAGACAAATGCTAAAAATCTTAAATAGTTATATTATTACAAAAGATGAAGATTGTAAGTAATAGTCTATAATACAGGCCAACATCTAAAATAACAATTATCCTGTAAACAGGCCAGGAGGTTGGCACTATTTAATACTGAAAATTGGGTGTTTATAGTACCATATTTATCATACTGTCAGGCCAGGAGGTTGGCATTGCTTTTTACTGAAAGTCCCAAGGTTAATAGTACCATATTTATCCTACTGTCAGGTCAGGAGGTTGGCATTACTTTTTACTGAAAGTCCCAGGGTTAATAGTACCATATTTATCCTACTGTCAGGTCAGGAGGTTGGCATTACTTCTTACTGAAAGTCCCAGGGTTAATAGTACCATATTTATCCTACTGTCAGGCCAGGAGGTTGGCATTACTTTTTACTGAAAGTCCCAGGGTTAATAGTACCATATTTATCCTACTGTCAGGTCAGGAGGTTGGCATTACTTCTTACTGAAAGTCCCAGGGTTAATAGTACCATATTTATCTTCCTGTTGGGTCAGGAGGTTGGCATTACTTCTTGCTGAAAGTCCCAGGGTTAATAGTACCATATTTATCCTACTGTCAGGCCAGGAGGTTGGCATTACTTCTTACTGAAAGTCCCAGGGTTAATAGTACCATACTTATCTTCCTGTTGGGTCAGGAGGTTGGCATTACTTCTTACTGAAAGTCCCAGGGTTAATAGTACCATATTTATCCTACTGTCAGGCCATGGGGTTATTACAATACAGTTAAATGGCATTCATCAATACTGGTAATGCATGGGTTTATTGTGAGAAGTGAAGTATGAACTAAAAAATCCAACAATTGTCAACAATTTTATTTCAATCAACATTTTGATACATGTATTCTTGACTAGGCTCTGTACCGATGTGGTATAATGAAATCATTTAGCATGCCTTGTAACACCAGCTTCAAACTTAACACCATTACTATCAATAAGTTTAATGTAATAATGAGTTTCTCAGAGTTGGATTTTCTATTTGAAATATGAAACATCTGTGGTATATAAAGTTTAACATTTTGCAATTATTCTTTCATAAAAGAAAAATTTGTACAAAAGTAAATTGTAAAACTTTCAAAGTACTTTAAAACTATGGAAATGTTAATTTGTTCTTTGATCAAAACTACTTGCTATTCCAACAATGGGTCAAGCTTTGTAAGTTAATCGTGACCAGAACTGAACCTGGTACATGAACTAATGCTATATATAATACAAAAAGTATAACAACTTTGAACCAAGTCTTCATATGTCAAGTATAGAGTTGGAGTAACACTAGTGCTGGCACATTAGTCCTTCCATAGAATAACAATATTATCTGCCTTCTGGGTTCTGTGGTGACAAAATCTTAATATAAGCAAGAACGGTGAAGTTCTGGTCCTGATATCCTCAAACTGACAATGTTAACAATAAGTTTAGTGTTAAGATGGTGACCTGTCGACAAAGATCGGTGAGTCTGACTTTGTCTGTATCATATGCCCTCCATGCTTCTGCCACAGGTCTACAGCTTGTATTACCAGGACATCACCGCTATCCTCAGGGATCTGAAACCGAATTGTCATTCATAAAATAACAAATATTTATCACCATTATCTACTTACAAACAACAACCACGTTAACATAGTTTATATGTGATGTCTGAAACAGTTTAGAGGTTGAATACATCTTTACATTCCTTGAAAACTTCTGACTGTGACTGATGAGGAAAGACTTGTCAGTTTTCTCTCAGTTTTGTCAGACTTTGTATGATGTGAGTTGAGTGTAAACTTTCATAATGACCTTTAAAATACTTTTTACCTGATAACTCAGGTGTCTGATCATTGACCATAATAAACACATGGGAAATCTTAATGGTGAAAGAAAATGCATTTGTCTTTAACTTGATTCAATATTTGTACTCACTTTGAGTAGATAGTTTACCATGTCGTCTCGGCTGTTCATGCTCAACAGAGGACGTTTGAAGGTTAGGAATATTGACACCGCTACATAGATGAGTATACTACAGGACCCTCCAATTACTTTATCCCACACTCTGTAAAAGATCAAGATATTTTCTCTACAAAATGTTAATGTAATGCAGTGACTGATATTGGAATACAATATTCATGAGGAAAAAGTGTTGTGGGATTGTAGGAGTTTGTTTCCCTGATAATCACATTTAAAGATCGTTGGACAAATTGATACCCAAAAGAGTGAGTAATAGCATTTCTGCTAAATGTATGAACCTTTCAAATGATGTGTCAGGAAGGACATTGGAGAAGCACCGCCGATACCAGTCAACTAAGGGCAGACAACTCCAGACATCATGTTTATTGAGGTGGTTGAAAAGGCGCTGGTCTGTATCCTCCTTTTTCAGATACTGTATTGTTTTTTCAGGCTGTAAGAAAACAACAAACATGTTAATAACTAAGTAACTAAAATGGTTTTCATTGATAATTGTTAAACTATATTATAACACAAAGACAAATTTATCATTGATATACAGAAAACAGGGAGAAAGACATATTTATTAGCAAATCATTACAAATTCTTAAGTGTCAAGAGAGGAAGATTTACAATGAGTAGTGTCCCACAAAGTGTGTTGATTTATAATGAGCAGTGACTTGCAATGTGTGTTGATTTATAATGAGCAATGAGTCACAAAAAAGTAGAATAAAGAGTGTTGACTCACAAAGTGTGTTGATTTACAATTTGTAATGAGAATTGAATCACAAACAAGGTATATATTGAGCAGTGTGATCACAAATAGTGTATAACCAATGGCTCACCAGTTGTTGTAGGGATTCTTTACACTTGCTGAACTGTGTATAAAACCTTGTAGTAATCCAGTACCCATCCACATCATTCTCCACAATACCACTTACTGATGATCCCATGGAAACTAGAGCTTGATTCTCAGGATTTTTCTTCAAGGAACAGAATGACAGTTTTAAAACCATTGAACAAGACTCCATTTTGTAACAGTTGTTATTCTTAAAATGTAATTGACCAGGAAATAGTAACAAAGGTGGGAAATCAATATACAATGTCATTTACCGGAAATCAAAGACAAACATCTTTTTTTGTTATCTCACCACTACAAATAACTTACAGATTTCCAAAATTATCAACATAAAACTATGGATAAGCAATGTTTAATAGCAGGGAACAATGTAACAAATGTGAAGATAATTTTTTTTTAAATTCAAAACAATCACGAAAGCTTTATTGACCAAACATCAGTGAATTCGATGACAGCTTGGATTTAAACTGATACAGTAAAGTATTCATCCTTTAATATGCACAGGGGGCCATCAATGTAACAGCTTAGCACCTGACTTTAGGTCAAGGAGTGACCTTATTACACAGCAATGAAATACTTATCCACCTCACTCAGGGTCAAGGTTTGGGCTATTACACATCAATAAAATAGCATAGTACCTGACTTTAGGTCAAGGAGTGGGCTTATTACACATCAATAAAAAAGTAGAGAACCTGGCTCAGGGTTAAGATGTGGGCTTATTACACACACTGCAGAAATAGCATAATGCCTAACTTAAGGTCAGACTTGGTTTATTGCAAACCAATGAAAAATCATGGTACCTGACTCGGGGTCAAGGAGTGGGCTTATACAACAAGTGAAATAAAGTATTATCTAACCAAACGTTAGGGACTAGACTTATTACAAAAAATTGAAATAGCATAGTATCTGACTCAAAGTAAATGAGTGGGCTTATTACACACCAATAAAATAACATAGTACCAGCTTATTACACACCAATTAAATAGCCCAAGGCACCTGACTTTGGGTCAAGGAATGGGCTTATTACACATCAATGGAATAGTTTAGTACCAGCTTATTACACACCAATTAAATAGCCTAAGGCACCTGACTTTGGGTCAAGGAATGGGCTTATTACACATCAATGGAATAGCATAGCACCTGACTCCGGTTAAAGGAGTTGGGTTATTACACATCAATGGAATAGTTTAGTACCAGCTTATTACACACCAATTAAATAGCCTAAGGCACCTGACTTTGGGTCAAGGAGTGGGCTTATTACACATCAATGAGGGGGCTTATTACAGAACCCATTCAATAATTTTGCTGAACAGCAACATACTTGAGTGGGCTTATTACCAGATATGGCTAATTACAGTGTAAATACAAAACGCTTATTCCCTAGCATACCAAATCATGATCTTCAAATGACAATATGCCAGTTTGAAGGAGAAACATTTTTGTGTAGACTTCTCCCGGGGAAGTGTGATTGTCAATTCTCCTCATGACAATGAGAGCATGGCGGAGATCTTCATACTGTTGACGGCGCTGACTCATTACAAAGTCTGCTGATTTAGAGTTAGCCGGAGTAATACCTGGAACAAACAACTAGAACTTGAGTACAGTATATACAAGAAGTATTACAAAAATCAACAACCCATCACAAAGACTTCACATAATTGTAACTTTTATCTTGTAAACAGTTATTTACTTCTGTTGGTATAAAAAGTATCACATTAAACAAGCAAGCACTATTGTAACTTCACACATAAGAGAGTTCACACAAAAATAAGCATCAATATAACTGTCAAACCTGTCTACAGAGTACAATCAATTGAGAAGTGAGAAGTGGCAGTTGACCCCTTAATAGAGTTTTACATGTAATTTACGTCTCATACTTTTTATACACCAGATGGTACTCGCTGGAAGATGTAATTACATCAACTGGTGTCATACTAGGACATTAAATCAGTGACATTCCTAAGTAAGTCTTTATTATATGTGAGTGACCATATATAACAGCAGATGTTTGACTGAATGGAGCTAAAATGGCCTCTTTATAGAGGTTTACATGTGATTACTTAAATTGGTGTAATATTGAGATCTTAAATCAGTGACCTTCTCAGGTTGTTTACTATATGTGAGATAACATAACAGTGTAGTGGAACTGGACGGGGGTCGATTGTCAGCGACCAGTTAGCTCAGTAGGTAGAGCACCCGTCTAGAGTTCAGAAGTTCCCAGGTTAGAATTCCGTTCTGGCAGCGCATTTTTCTGCTGCTGTTACATTTGATACTGTGACCAAACTTTGTTTCAAGCAGTAGGTGAATACTTAACAAGGGGATACCCAAACCTGGGTTGTGATGTCTTGGGGCAAAGGCTAAAAACAAGGAGAGAGGAATGTAGCAGAACTGGACATAGTGATCGTCGGTGACCAGTTAGTTCAGTAGGTAGAGCATCTGTCTAGAGTCAGAAGGTCCCTGGTTCGAACCTCGGTCTGGCCGCTCATTTTTCCGCTCATGTTACAACAGTAGCTGTTTGACAAATTCACAATTGACTGTCACAAAATGGTAAACAAGTATAATATTGTATGCAGAAATATATCTAAAATGGCAGGTATTTGTTACTTGTGAGTGGCCATGTATAAAAAATGATAAATTGCATAACGGTAGCTGTTTGACTAAATGTACCTAAAATGGCTTTCCACAAGTGTATCCTGTACATGGCTGGGACCTGGAATCGTAAACAAAACTGTCTCAGTTTTTCAATGTTAAGTGGTTGTTCTTTCAGAAGAATTTCCAGCGATTTCTTTTCATCCACTCCTCCGATGCCAAACTTTTCATAGTAGTAAGTTCGGAAATTTCTTTCATCATGTCCAGCCATCTGAAAAAGAACAAAGCAAACTGTTAAGGTCTGCATTTTCAGTTAGTTTCAGCTACAAGCAATACATATACTTCAGTACATCAAATGAAAAGTCTGGACAGAAAACAATTTTTGAACATCAATCTCAAACATATAACTACCATACAATCACGGACTTAGACATAGTTAGATTTAACATGGACATTTGTATATATCGATCGGCTGGGTTGTTTGATACGATACTTCCCTGAGATTGGCACTGTGGTACACAAGTGTAAACATTAACATTTCAACACTCTAATATTACTATATATTCATTTCAGTACTGCAGCGGTGAATATTTACTAAATAATTCAGTAATCGCTAAGTATTATCATACAACGGATCGCTATACCTCAAACACTCAAATGTCACCACTTCAGCTTAAGGGGGACATGGATGCTGCAAATAAGGAAACTTTGACCAGCTGCATGCTAACTAAGTCTCCACATCGTCGTCTTAGTGTTGTAAACAATGTCATTTTACTTCATATTCTTCTTGCCTGACATTCTCCAGTTATTTAGAGTGATCTCCCCTATTCTTTCGGATAGTCTCTAGACTTCAAACATTTACAAACGGTAAAACAAGAGATATCCGAAAATACAAGGAATGGCGGAAAATTTGAGAAATGGGGATGAAGAGGAGTTGTGTAATACAATATCCATTCATTGATATGTAATAATTAATGCTTTCCCCACTTTAGTTTATTCAATATCACACCCAATGTATCCTACATTTTAAGTAGGGCATTTATGACGGGAACGCACAGATCGTCAATTATCGATAAATAATTGTGCATGGGCTTATGCATTATATCTGGTTGTAAACTCGAGTAGAAATCCACAGTCCATAGGTCTCTTTACATGGCAGATGCAAGCGCCTGTGGAACGGATGAACTGAAAATAAATGATCAAAGTTAACTTGTTAGTATGTACTCGACGCGACTGTAAATTATTACAAGATGGGGAGAAAGGGGGTTGATTCTTTGATATAAAATGGCGGTTACACTTGAAGGAGATGTTAACTTGTAATATTTCTTATATAAAGCACACATTTGGATTGTTATATAAGATATACATACTTACATAATCATTAACTGAATATGTCTCGGTAATATGATGTTTTGATTGCGAGGCAGGATGTTTTTCATTGCCCCATCCTGTATTACAAAAATGAAAATGATAAATTCGAACCAAGTTATCACTTAAATGCTGAAATTGTACACATATATTTTTAGGTGATTTCTGATTTTTGGCGGTTGCCTTGAAGTCTTTGGAGGACATGTCTGATGAGAGTGATGATGAACTTATAGTGTTACCCCCATCACCTGGAGCTGTCCAGCCTTCTTCATCAGCCAGTTTCCTCTCAGAAGCATCATCACAGAGGACATCATCCTCTAATTTGACATTTGGACGATCACTTCAGAGCCTCTTCCGACAAAGAGAAGGATCTTCAGGATCTGGAAGCGAACCCCCTCTACCATCCTTGATTATACCAGAAGCAAATATTTTGATTCCATATGAGGGTGGAAATAATGGAAGATTTCATGTAATACAGATAGTTTCACTTGATATAAAATTTTATGTGTCCATGGATATATCTATTAATGGCATAATGAAGAAGTTTTTATCTAGATATATTCAAGTTCATTTGGGATGTTGAAAAAGTGAAGTCTAGGTTTGCTTCATGATTTTGTCAATCATATATGTTTTAAAACGTAAACTTATTGGATATGTTTTCTTGTCCTCAGAATGTGTTGAATGTTGACACCAGTTCCCATGGCAGTGATGTGGTGGATGTTGATAACAGTTCCCACGGCAGTGATGTTGTGGAAGTGCCATCCGGAAGTGAAGACAATTCAGATGTTGTAGAAGTCGAAACAGAATCAGAAAATGAAGTAATTGTTGTTATTAATGAGATCATGTTTGATTTGGAGACTATTGTTTTGAAGAGTCAAGGAGTGAAAATGAGTCAAGGAGGGAAAGATCCTTAAAATAAGTATACATTTCACATATTTTTATCATGTTCTGTTTAATGATTTTTTTGTAATGTTTATAGGTTTCAAATATTGCTTTGGAAATTTCCAATTCTGATGTAAAAAGTTTTATTTCAACTAATCTAAGGATTTTGTGATGTCATTTTTCAAATTGACTTGATGATTTCAAATAATCCTATTTATGTTAAGGTCGAAATAGTATGACAAGATGGGAAACACATTCTAGAAAAAAGAAGTACACAAGATGGTTACAAATCTCAGTGATGCTGGCAGGGGTCAAAAGTGTTGAAATGCAGATTAAAAGTTTGGAAATCTTAACTGGCATGAAAAATGTACAAATGGCAATGGAGGTGTGCAGTTACATAGCCCCAAAATGATTTGTCAGTATCTAATTTAAAAATAACATGGTTTTTATGTTACACAGGAATCTGATAATGAAGTGCTACAGCCTGGTAGTCCTGCTGATCAAGGGGACAATATACAACAAGCTGGACCATCATCTGGTCTGACAGAAATAAGTGAACATGTGGCTGATTCGTCTTCTGGTCTGTCAGCCACAAGTGTTGCACCAGAAAGTACTGGTTCCAGTACCCCACGCCCTGGATCTGTGAGAGCTTTGTCAACCAGCCATGGCTCACCACGTGATTTCCGGTCCCCGAAACGCAGAAGAGTAGACTCCAGTGAAACAGCGACTACAAGTGGAGCAGATGTGGCAGGTTGTCTTGATGATGATGACGATGCAAATGTAAGCTATCGTACTCTTCAAAAACCTTTCTTTACTGTGTTCTAGGTTTAAAGCATTTTACTTTTTAGTTCACCTGTCCAGCAGGGCAAAGTGATCTTATGGCATACTCCAGTGTCCGATGTCACCCATCAACTTTTCCATATCAATTGCTTCTAGTCATAAACGACTCGCATGATTTCATCCAAATTTTGTCTGAAGCATTGTTGGACGAAGGGAAATCAATTTTGTGTAAATGGTAGGTTCCCGACCCCCTGGGGCATGAGGGGCAGGCCCAATAGTGAAAACAGAGCAAATCTTTCAAATCCTATTCATGCAGGAATTATTGAATTTTGCCCATATTCAGTATTAAACATTGTTGGGTGAAGGGGAATCATTTTTGTATAAATGGTAGGTGTCAGTCCCCTGGGTTGGGAGGGAACGGGTCAAGTTAGGTAAATCCTTAAAATCCTGCTTCTCCATAAGGAATGATTAGATATTGCCCAAATTTGGCAAGAAGTATTCTTGGGTGAAGGGGAACAAAGTTTGTGATAAGATTGGTTCTCAGTTCCTAGGTACCTGAGAGACAGGGCCTGATTGTAGTTGCCCAAAATTGGAAATTTTGCAAGTGCTTTAAAATCTTATCTTCCATAATGATATTTCCTAAATTTGGTCTGAAGTATTCCAGGGTAAAAGGGACTAAGTACCGTATAAATGGTGCATCCCAGCACTCTAGGACAGGAGGGATGGGCCAAATTGGGGGAAATGGGAGGGGTGGGCCCAATTCAGGATGGGAAGGGGTGGGCCAAATTGGAGAGTTCATTGGTAGATATGAGAGAAAATTTGCAACATGCAGTGATTGGTGCCAATAATGTTACAACTGTACCCACATAATGGTAAAAGTTTGAAGTAGTGTTGAACTTACAGGACTTGTGTACCTTTTATTGTAGACCTGTCCCATCTGCTTTGAGGAGTGGACAACATCAGGCTCGCACCGACTGGCTTCCCTCCGTTGTGGTCACCTGTTTGGACATAGGTAGGAACACAGACATTTTTGGCAGTCATCTTTACAATAATGAGTCAATATTCCATGATGCTAAGGGCCACTCTTGATTTCTGTAATGTTTTAAAATAACCAACCTAACATATTATCAACGACAACAAAGTTGTTCTTTTAGTTTACCATATTTGGCACTTCTATATAAATTTCTTAAGAAGAAAGTTCTTTAGGCGAGGATTTGGTTTATTGAACACATGGTTCATGGACAGGCCATGTCAAACAAAAATTACTGAAAAATGGAAATATTCTGGGTAATATTGATAAGAAACAAATGTTAAAGTGATCTATAGCCATATAGGTATGTTAGTTTTACCTATGGTACTAACAATACTTAATAAGTTACAGAAATATAAAGCATTCTGTCAATATAAGTGCTAATGCTTCATTGTGTTTGTATTACAGTTGTATAGACAAATGGTTGAGGGGTCAGGGTGGTAAATGTCCCCAGTGTAATGCCAAGGCCAAAAGACAGGACATCCGACTGCTGTATGCAAAGGCTATTAAGGTAGAGTCTCTCATCTGTCTTGTTTGAAGTTCACTTAATTCAGTATGATTTTTTTTAAAGACTTTTCTTTTGTTTTAAGTTTATCTGGTCCAAAGGACCAATGAGCTTATGCCATTTTGGTGTGTTTGTCCATTGTTTTCTAAAAATCACTATTAGACAGGAATGAATGGCAGAATTTTGACAAAATTTGGTCAAAAGCATCTCTGGGGGAAGAGGAATCAATTTTGCATAAATGAGAAGTAGACATAAGAGACTAAAATGATTCTTTTTCTGTTATAACAAGATACTTTGACAAAATTGTTTTAGGAGATAGTAACACAATTGTGTATAGTAATGTTCAGATGTGAAAGTTGAAATAGCCAAGTGAGCGATACAGGACCTATAGGCCTCTTGCTTTCTCAAGTCAATATACATTAATTTTAAAATACCTGTTATGAGATAAAAGATCATTCACAACAAGACAATCTGAAGGAAAATCATGATAGAAAAAAAATAAAGATGCAAATGATGATGATTCATAATGATAAAAAAAATGAACCAAGAATTGTACTGCATGCAGAATTATCTAATAAATTGAATCATAGGAACCCTTCTTACAAAACAAAAGTGTGAAAATTCAGAGTTAATATATAGACAAGCAAGACTGCTGTGTGGATAAGTACCAGTAGATTTTAGGATGTCCCAGGCCAAATGAGTAAGTACTCTTAAATATTTTCCCCTTCTTAATTTTAATCAGATATCAGTATAATACAGTGTGTGTTTGATAACAAGTAATGTATTTGATTTAACTATAAACTGATTTCTATTAAAAAAAATTGCAATGTTTTCTAATAAAACAATATTAATATTTTCTATTAAAACAATTTTAATGTTTTCTAATAAAACAATTTCAATATTTTCTAATAAAACAGTTTTGATGTTTTCTATTAAAACAATTTCAATATTTTCTAATGAAACAATTATAATTTTTTTCTACGAAAACAATTTTAATGTTTTAATAAATTGACACTATGTACACATGTACATGTAGATTCAGTATAAGTTGCATACAAGGTAAATAGATTTTAATTATAAAACAAATAATATTGAATCTTAATTGATTTTTCACAAGCACTGAAAGTTATTTTACAGTATATAGATTTGCTGTAAGTTTTAACCAGTTTTGAGTTTTAAGAAAACATTATTTTAAGAAAATAAAGTTGGATTGTCATACAGCTGGACCATTGCATCAATGTTCTTGTTATCTTCTGTATACCTGGTGTTATAATTGGACACTTGTGGTGTAATCGCTTCATTTTAATTGTTACCTTAACTTTGTTATCAAGGCAATAGATACATCAGAACGTGACAGAGCACTGCAGGACCTGGAGAAGGAGAAAGAAGCACGACGACGATGTGAGATGGAGGCTGCACAGACACGTTTACAGTATCAGCTGTCTGTAGAGGAATGCAACAGACTCAAGGCAGAACTAGACAGGGTCACACAGACAGTACAGTCACTCAGGTACTAGACAGGTTCACACAGACAGTACAATCACTCAGGTACTAGACAGGTTCACACAGACAGTACAGTCACTCAGGTACTAGACAGGTTCACACAGACAGAACAATCACTCAGGTACTAGACAGGTTCACACAGACAGTACAGTCACTCGGTACTAGACAACCTCATGCACAGCATGGTAACTCACATCCCAGTTATTGACAATCTTAATTATATTGTAGATCACAGGCTTCCAGTAGCAGTCTTTCTCTGACCCAGACAAGTCCCACAAGGCAGATTAAGGCTAGGCTTAATGGTCAGTTCATGCTGGAGAAAACTATCAAGATTTGGGAGGTAATATTTCATAAAAGTATAAGGCATGGTGTTTAGATTTTATATGGGCATGTTTTTTTTTGTAAACTGATCATGTTGAATTGGAAACTATTCTGTTCTTGTTAAATTATATATGCATTCGTCAATAAACACTTGTAGTTTTTGTGTGAGTGGTTTCCTGATAACCCATTAAAAGAAAATAGCACTTGTCAGAAAGTTTTAGAATGTCAAATGGAAATGCTTCAGAGATATTCTATATCAACACTTCCTAGATATATAAAGTATCAATCTATTCATTCTGTATGGAGTATTGACGTTCAACCATTATTTTCACTTACATGGAAAACAAATGGATTTTTGTTTACAGGCGGGCAACTGTCGTGTCATGGACTACAGCTCCTCTCTAGCCACCTTGGTTGTATCTCAGCCATCAGCCAGTCCTCTATTTCCAGGATTTGGCATTAAAAAGGTAACATTTGAGGAAACAGTGTACTTGTCACCAAAATGAGAAAGTAAAATCAATGGTTTTACATGTTATTCCATATAGTCTTTATACACAGCCTTGTTACTATGTATTAGATGTTAAACTGTTTATCAGACTTTGTGGATTCTGTCACGTAGGTCAGTATGATGGACTTTAAGACCTGCCAGTACTTAACGCTCCACACCAAGGCCATTCGTGATGTTTGTTTTCATCCCTTGGTGGACGATGGCATGCTGCTCAGTGCATCGATGGACAAAACCATTAAAATGACAAGTGTCATCAGTAATGCTGTTGTTCAGTCGTAAGTTTACCATTGGAAATGACGAGCTTAACCTCAAAATGACAAGCTTATTGTGTTTGTTATGTAGAGGTGCCTCAGTGAGGTTGGAGTTTACTGTAGAATAGTATATGTTACAATTTATGACACATTTTTACAAAATGAAAAATGATATTATTATGATATTGTAGACGAGAATTTTTAATAGTCAGGCAAGTTATGAGAAGTTATACATTTATTCTGACTAGCTGAGCATTACTGGAGAAAGAGGAACTTCTGTGTAATTGGTATTCATACTTTTGTTTTTAAGTTTATTCATTCATTCATCATTTGTGATATTTCACATAATGGCTGGTATATAATGACTGCTGTCCCAATTTTCTTTGTCCCTGAATTTGAAAAAGAAGTCAGGTGCATGTCATCAGGAATAGTATTCTGTACTCAGTATTCCTGTAAAACTTTCAGCTGGTTTATCATCTTTCTGACATTAGATATGAGACGCCACAGCCAGTCTGGAGTTGTGTGTGGAATGCTGATGACCATAACTACTTCTATTCTGGTCAGAGTAACGGAACTGTCCTGGAATTTGATATCAGAAATACTACTGAACATCTGAAGGAACTAAACACTGAAGGTCACAGGTCACCAGTCGTGTCCCTAGAGTACATCCCTAAGGATCCACAGGCCATGTTCAGGTAATCCCACCCTTTATCATCAGTCCTACCCCCAAAATTAAGTACAACCCTGAGGTTTTCTCCACCAAGAAAATAAATCATTAGTTAGACCCTGAGATAACACATCAAAAGTCCAACCAACAATATTATATAAATCCTTTCTCCAAGATAGGATCAGCAGCAGCATGATAGATAACAGTGATTCTACTCATTAGAATAGTTCTTTGGAACCTAATACTTGATGTAGTCTCTTGTAAATGTTGAAATAGGTGTTTAATGAACACTTGACCACATGTAAGACGAGTCATTGACTCGAGTTTAATACCAGGTATAGATAAAGACTACTTCTGATTATTAGTCTGTCCTTTATAAGGGAGTTTGGAAATGATTATTTGTTGTATATTTTAGACCTGGAGGTATACTGGTTGGACAGTTGGCCCAGGTTAGCTTCTACGAGCGTAAATCAGACGATCAGTACCGGCTACATATGCTGCCCCTGGATGGTAGGTAGATCTAAAGATAATTCTATAATTCAATTCAGAAGAGTAGATTTGAAACTTCATTTTACATTGTTTCATTTAAACACTTTGACAAGGAGTGAGTCTCTACATTAACTCACTGCTTTGACAGGGAGTAAGTCTCTACATTAACACTGCACTTTGACAGAGAGTAAGTCTCTACATTAACTCAACACTTTGACAGGGAGTAAGTCTCTACATTAAATCAACACTTTGACAAGGAGTGAGTCTCTACATTAACTCAACACTTTGGCAGGGAGTAAGTCTCTACATTAACTCAACACTTTGACAGGGAGTAAGTCTCTACATTAACTCAACACTTTGACAGGGAGTAAGTCTCTAATTAACTCAACACGTTGACAGGGAGTGAGTCTCTACATTAACTCAACACTTTGACAGGGATTAAGTCTTCACATTAATGCAATACTTTGACAGGAAGTAAGTCTCTACATTAACTCAATACTTATACAAGGAATAAGTCTCTAAATCACCGTATTCGATCCAATAAGCGCCCAGGCGCTTAAAAAATAACAATTAAGGGGGGTGCTTATTAAAGACCATCTTACATGTAAAAGAAACACATTCAGTGCTAAAAAATCTGCCTCCACTAGGAACTTTACGTCTTCTTTTTGAGGTGTTTAGTAAAGAGGTTTTCAATTCACTCTCTTTTTGTCTCCAATCGCTAATTCGCTTCCTATCTAGACCGTACTGCTTTGATGCTTTGCTATTTCCCCATTCCTTGGCAAGCTCCTCAACTTTTAACTTGAAAGAAATTTCATACGACTCGATTTGGCCCCCTTTGTGAGATTGTGATGTGCCTGTGGTTGCTATTACTTCAGTGTCAACCTCTATGTATCAAGGTGCACTCTGTCTTTTTGTGTTCGTCGATAAATTGTTTCAGAATATCTTAACATGATGACACGAAAGGGAATTTGTTTATGATAAAGATATAAAATTCCATTCATACTTGCCTGTTTTAGCACAACTGTTTTGCTTGTCATTTGATATCTAACTGCTTCATTTCTTTCTGTCAGATAATCTATCACACATGAAAATATCATTTCTTAATCTGCTGTATCAATGGCTACCTTACCTGTTAAATAATGGACTATGCCTATTCAGTCGTCATTACTGTGGCTGAGCGCGCGACACCAAGGTACACAAGGTAAAGGTCATCTACCACGTGGTTTAGGAATGTGTGAAAAAAATGTCTTTTATGTATGAATATTCGTCTGTGGTCAGGGGATATCATGTTTATAGAGAGTGTTGAAAACCATTCATAGGACAGTGCCTTGATACAGTTATTGAGGATAATAATCCGTTTGACAAGTTTGCAATCAGAGTTGTGAAAGAAGGGAAAACAGTGGGTCACATTTCAAGTGAACTGTCAAAAGCAGCTGATTTTTAGGTCGCCTGAGCCGAAGGTTATTCTCAAGAACCACTGAATGGATTTTGACCAAACTTGGCACAAAGCATCCCCATGGGAAGCCGCTTCAAGTTTGCGAAGAAAAAGGGCATGGCCCCAATAGGGGCCACAGGAGGGGGGAAAAGGGGGTAAAATTAGGTAAATCTTTAAAAATCTTCTTCTCATGAACCAACTGTCAGATTAAATTCCTATTTTATATTTAGGATCCTTATGGCAAGGTCTACAAAGTTTGCGAATGAAAAAAAAATCGGGTCAAAAACGACCCCACTAGGGGGCGCTCAAAAGGGTAGAAAATTCAACTTTGACCGATTTCAACCAAATTTGCGAAGAAAAAGGGCGTGGCCCCAATAGGGGCCCCAGGAGGGGGGAAAAGGGGAAACTTGATAGGAATGTTCTACACAAGGTCCTGGCAAGTGTTTTAACTTTTTTGGGGCGATTCAAAATCCAAGATGGCCACCCTGGCCTCTGTTTGGCTAAGACATTATGGACTTCCTCTCAAGAACCATTGGGTGGGTCATGTTCAAACTTGGTACAGATGTTTTACACATGGTCCTGCACAAGTGTTGTTACATTTTTGCAACATTTCAAAATCCCCAGATTATTGACATATATTCCTCAGGTGACCGTTAAGGCCCCTTGGGCCTCTTGTTTTATCAGGCATAGTGGGAAAATTGTGGTAGTAGTTACAGAGGACACTTATCAACATTCCTCTGTTGCTGGTGGACTGGAGATAAACTGTTTACATTTTTCTGGAGTACATCTCCTTATAAACTGACTTAAAACAATTCTTGATCGTGACTAATACATAAGTAAATCTAGACTTTTAGGTACCTGAAAGGGAGAGGGGGCGCTTCTAGGGACATGGGCACTTATTGGGTCGAATACGGTAACTCAACACTTTGACAGGGAGTAAGTCTCAACATTAACACAACACTTTGACAGGGATTAAGTCTCTACATTAACTCGGCTTTTTGACAGGGAGTAAGTCTCTACATTAACTCAACACTTTGACAGGGAGTAAGTCTCTACATTAATTCAACAATCTGACAGGGAGTGTTTATTTCAGGGACTTTATCAAACCTCTGTGTCGATGTCTCTTGACTAAGTCTGCAATGCAAATGTCTCTCGGTAATCCTGTGATTTGTTTTTTTTAGGGACTTTATCAAGTCTTTGTTTTGAGCCAACTACCAGAAACCTACTGGCAAGTTTCAAGCCCAATTCAAAATATCCAACAACTCGACATCAGGTATGTATACCTGTAATATTTATAGGAACTTTTCAAGCAAGTCAAGAACACCATACAAAAACTTTTAATGAATCCCATTACTAAGGGGTATAGTGGGTCTTCTGGGGGTATAGTGGGTCTTCTGAATTTGAGTCCCACAGGAAAATCATGCTTCCAGGATATGAATATTCCAAAAATCATTGTATACAAAAACTTTACAATATTATAACTGTCCAATTCATGTCGTGTATTAAAGTGATCCTGGAAATTAACTGCCTGTACATTGGGAATGCTTTCATGATAAAGAAAAAAATAATTCATTAAAGAAAAAAATAATTCATTATATATAAGAGATGACCTCCTCTCCTTAACCTCCTTGTTACAATGCTCTCCTCTCCTTAAACTCCAAGTAACAATAGTATCCACCTTTATTTATAAGGCAAATACAATGAAATTTGCTGATTTTCGTTAACAGATGTGCGAGATGTCATCAACAGCTATCAACACTGGTTTAGACACTGTGTGTACTTGTAATGTGATTCAAACATTCCATGGGGGACGTACCCAAGCAATGCTGTCCAACTCCCTTCTCCTTCCCCACCCTGAGGATAGCAGCCGACTCCTTGTATGTGCCGGGGAGGAGGCCTCTTCTGCAGTAAGTAGCCCTGACTCTCTCCCTTCTTCAGGGATGACAGCCATTTTCTTGTATTTGCTAGGATTGAATCTAATCTCTCACATGATGACATCAGCCAGCCTAGAAGAGAGAGTTCATTCAGTCTCTCACCTAACAGCTTCCTATCTTACCAAAAACTAAGTTTTCATATGCAGCATACAGATAAATCTGCAAAAGTCATATCAGTGTTTCTCGATATATTGTATCATTATGTGTATGTTACATATCCTCTGTCATTGGACTTGTATATGTTGTGTCTGAAGATACTATTTTTCATATGTTGTTTTATTGCCAAAATTAATTGACAAAATCTTTACGTGTTATATATTATGGCGACTATGTTTACCTACAGATGCATGTCTGGGACTGTGGTACAAATCAGATGAGTCAGCGACTCCACACAGGTGGAGTAGTGGTGGACATATGTGCGATACGCAGCAACCAAAAGGACTATGTTGCTGCTCTGACAGAGAAACAGGTCAAAATTCATAAGTGGTCATGAGTAGATATGTGTATGTAATGAAGTTCTGTAGAATACTCTGGTCAGCATGTGGAATGGACTTGTACAAGGAAGACATTTAGGAAATCCAAGTGTATGTGAAGAGAGTTTTTGAAAATCCAGTCAGGGACAAAAAAAAAATGGATCAGAATACTGAAGTAAATGTGAGTTAGGGAAGCCTGAATTAGTGTTAAAGAACTTCATACCAGTACTGAAATTTTAAGACTTCAAAAAATTTCAGTCTTGTGTTAATCATGAACAAGTATTTAGTGTCTGAACTAAAGAAACTGGTTCAAAAGGTTGATTCATGCATCTGGACTTCATGTGCATTGAGTGTGAAGACTAAAAAAAAACTGTTTTTATATGCTTTATGCTAGTATGTCTTGAATGTTTTGTGTAAGAGTATGGGTGGTGTTGTGTGGGATACAGAAAATAAAACAGCAAGATTTGAGGCTTGTAAATTAACTGAGTAGTTTTTATCATGATGCCTTGTGGTTTATAAACTATGTATAAGGTAACATCTATTGAGAAAAGAAATGAGGACAGAGGACACAATATCATAAGAAAAGAATTTTAAAGCCATGATGAGATAATGATTTAATGACTTGACATCACAGACATTACAATGATTTTGTGAGCCTTTGATGAGATAATGACTTGACATCACAGACATTACAATGATTTTGTGAGCCTTTGATAAGATAATGACTTGACATCACAGACATTACAATGATATTGTGAGCCTTTGATAAGATAATGACTTGACATCACAGACATTACAATGATATTGTGAGCCATTGATAAGATAATGACTTGACATCACAGACATTACAATGATTTTATGGGCCTTTGATAAGATAATGACTTGACATCACAGACATTACAATGACATTATGAAGCCATGATAAGATAATGACTTGACATCACAGACATTACATTGATATAGTGAGGCCATGACAAGATAATGACTTGACATCACAGACATTACATTGACATTATGAAGCCATGATAAGATAGTAACTTGACATCACAGACATTACAATGATATTGTGGGCCTTTGATAAGATAATGACTTGACATCACAGACATTACAATGACTTTGTTAGTTTACCTGGCCTGAAAGACTGATTTTATGCTATGTTGAAGTGTCTATCATCTATTCCTTGGCCCATTTTCAAGGTAACTTGGGGTCATTTGTTAAAGCCTTTAAATTTCCTTCTGATTTAGCAAATGGCCTAGAATCATGACATTTGGGTGGTAGGATCCTAGGATGATGATCAACAAAGTTAGAATAGAAATTAAAATGGCCTTGACTCATATCCAAGTTCACAGAGGTCAAATATGCTAAAATCTTCAGATAACATCTTCTGAGTAACTAAAAGACCTAGAGTCATGATATGTGGCTGAAAGGTTCCTTTAATGAAGCTCAACAAAAATATAAAAAAATAATTACCTGAATTATATTCCTGATCACAGCAGTCAAATTTGTTATCACCTTCAAACCACTTCTTCTAATGTATCAAAACCAACAATCGTGATATATGGTTAATACTGTATGTATTTAAATCAGTGCAGTCTTATTTTAGTTTTCTGAGGGGGTTTAGCCTTATAAGCCTGATCTTAAGTTCTCACAAAAACGACAAGAATATATTTCAAACAAGACGTAATGTACTTTCCTGATACAAAAGTTTTCCAGGTGTCCTATAATGGAAACCATATACAGGTAAGATTATCACGGAGCCTAGTTTTTTAAGAAATATGCTATACTATACAGGTGAGGTGACCTTTCTAAATATTCATACAGTAGATTCCTAAGATGAAGTCCATGACATTTTACAAAAAGAATTGACCTTGACCCATATTCAAGGTCACAAGGGTCAAATTTGTTAAAACCTTTAAATGTTTCCTTCTCATTAAGCAAGATTTGTAATGTAAACCATTATTAAATGTTCTTGTACTTACTGTAAAAGCATTGAGTACCAGGAGAGTGATGCAAGCCCACTGGGCCTCTTGTTTTGTGATGTGACTGGGGACTTCATGATTTTTAAAGAAAACATGTTTTAGGAAACTTAAATCTTACTTTCATTTCTGCATACCTTACATAAATCAAAACTTGTATTATTATTATTTAAGTTCAGGTTTGTAACTGACTTCATCTCTAATCTGTAAGTATTGCCTGCTTTTATAAGTTCTCTTATAGAATTTAAACTACCTCTAATTACTACTGCCAATGTATAGATAGGCTCATTATGAACATTTCACACAATCATGTTAATTTTATTCCGTCTCTTCACTTCACAAACATAAAAGATGAACAGGATACATTTGTATAGATTGTGATCAGGCATATATAGAGTATGATTAGGTATAGATAGAGTATGATTAGGTATAGATAGAATGTGATTAGGTACAGATAGAGTGTGATTAGGTACAGATAGAGTGTGATTAGGTATAGATAGAGTGTGATCAGGTACACATAGAGTATGATTAGGTATAGATAGTGTGTGATTAGGTACAGATAGAGTGTGATTAGGTACAGATAGAGTGTGATTAGGTACAGATAGAGTATGATTAGGTATAGATAGAGTGTGATTAGGTATAGATAGAGTGTGATTAGGTACAGATAGAGTGTGATTAGGTATAGATAGAGTGTGATTAGGTACAGATAGAGTGTGATTAGGTATAGATAGAGTGTGATTAGGTACAGATAGAGTGTGATTAGGTACAGATAGAGTGTGATTAGGTACAGATAGAGTGTGATTAGGTACAGATAGAGTGTGATTAGGTATAGATAGAGTGTGATTAGGTATAGATAGATAGAGTGTGATTAGGTATAGATAGAGTGTGATTAGGTATAGATAGAATGTGATTAGGTACAGATAGAGTGTCATTAGGTATAGATAGAGTGTGATTAGGTACAGATAGAGTGTGATTAGGTACAGATAGAGTGTGATTAGGTATAGATAGAGTGTGATTAGGTACAGATAGAGTGTGATTAGGTATAGATAGAGTGTGATTAGGTACAGATAGAGTGTGATTAGGTACAGATAGAGTGTGATTAGGTACAGATAGAGTGTGATTAGGTATAGATAGAGTGTGATTAGGTACAGATAGAGTGTGATTAGGTACAGATAGAGTGTGATTAGGTATAGATAGAGTGTGATTAGGTACAGATAGAGTGTGATCAGGCATATATAGAGCATGATTAGGTATAGATAGATAGAGTGTGATTAGGTATAGATAGATGGAGTGTGATTAGGTATAGATAGAGTGGTATTAGGTAGAGTGTGATTAGGTATAGATAGAGTGTGATTAGGTATAGATAGAGTGTGATTAGGTACAGATAGAGTGTGATTAGGTATAGATAGAATGTGATTAGGTATAGATAGAGTGTCATTAGGTATAGATAGAGTGTCATTAGGTACAGATAGAGTGTGATTAAGTATAGATAGAGTGTGATTAGGTACAGATAGAGTGTGATTAGGTATAGATAGAGTGTGATTAGGTATAGATAGAGTGTGATTAGGTATAGATAGAGTGTGATTAGGTACAGATAGAGTGTGATTAGGTATAGATAGAGTGTGATTAGGTATAGATAGAATGTGATTAGGTATAGATAGATGGAGTGTGATTAGGTATAGATAGAGTGTGATTAGGTATAGATAGATAGAGTGTGATTAGGTATAGATAGAGTGTGATTAGGTACAGATAGAGTGTGATTAGGTACAGATAGAGTGTGATTAGGTACAGATAGAGTGTGATTAGGTATAGATAGAGTGTGATTAGGTATAGATAGAATGTGATTAGGTACAGATAGAATGTGATTAGGTATAGATAGATAGAGTGTGATTAGGTACAGATAGAGTGTGATTAGGTATAGATAGAGTGTGATTAGGTATAGATAGAGTGTGATTAGGAATAGATAGAGTGTGATTAGGTATAGATAGAATGTGATAAGGTACAGATAGATTGTGATTAGGTATAGATAGATAGAGTGTGATAAGGTACAGATAGATTGTGATTAGGTACAGATAGAGTGTGATTAGGTATAGATAGAGTGTGATTAGGTATAGATAGAGTGTGATTAGGAATAGATAGAGTGTGATTAGGTAGAGTGTGATTAGGTATAGATAGAGTGTGATTAGGTAGAGTGTGATTAGGTATAGATAGAGTGTGATTAGGTATAGATAGAGTGTGATTAGGTACAGATAGAGTGTGATTAGGTACAGATAGAGTGTGATTAGGTATAGATAGAGTGTGATTAGGTATAGATAGAGTGTGATTAGGTATAGATAGAGTGTGATTAGGTATAGATAGAGTGTGATTAGGTAGAGTGTGATTAGGTACAGATAGAGTATGATTAGGTATAGATAGAGTGTGATTAGGTATAGATAGAGTGTGATTAGGTATAGATAGAGTGTGATTAGGTAGAGTGTGATTAGGTACAGATAGAGTATGATTAGGTATAGGTAGAGTGTGATTAGGTATAGATAGAGTGTGATTAGGTATAGATAGAGTGTGATTAGGTATAGATAGAGTGTGATTAGGTAGAGTGTGATTAGGTACAGATAGAGTGTGATTAGGTACAGATAGAGTGTGATTAGGTACAGATAGAGTGTGATTAGGTACAGATAGAGTGTGATTAGGTATAGATAGAGTGTGATTAGGTATAGATAGAGTGTGATTAGGTATAGATAGAGTGTGATTAGGTAGAGTGTGATTAGGTACAGATAGAGTGTGATTAGGTACAGATAGAGTGTGATTAGGTACAGATAGAGTGTGATTAGGTACAGATAGAGTGTGATTAGGTATAGATAGAGTGTGATTAGGTATAGATAGAGTGTGATTAGGTACAGATAGAGTGTGATTAGGTATAGATAGATGGAGTGTGATTAGGTATAGATAGAATGTGATAAGGTACAGATAGAATGTGATAAGGTACAGATAGAATGTGATTAGGAATAGATAGAATGTGATAAGGTACAGATAGAGTGTGATTAGGTATAGATAGATAGAGTGTGATTAGGTACAGATAGAGTGTGATTAGGTATAGATAGAGTGTGATTAGGTATAGATAGAGTGTGATTAGGTATAGATAGAGTGTGATTAGGTATAGATAGAGTGTGATTAGGTATAGATAGAGTGTGATTAAGTATAGATAGATAGAGTGTGATTAGGTATAGATAGAGTGTGATTAGGTATAGATAGAGTGTGATTAGGTATAGATAGATAGAGTGTGATTAGGTATAGATAGAGTGTGATTAGGTATAGATAGAATGTGATAAGGTACAGATAGATTGTGATTAGGTATAGATAGATAGAGTGTGATTAGGTATAGATAGAGTGTGATTAGGTACAGATAGAGTGTGATTAGGTATAGATAGAGTGTGATCAGGTACAGATAGAGTGTGATTAGGTACAGATAGAGTATGATTAGGT